AATTCTGAAGAGACAAGTTGAGCATCACTCTCCATCCAGCATTCAGGCTCTAAAAGAGGTTGTTCTTAAAGTTTGGAAAAAGATAAATGTTGCAATATGTTGCCAACTTGTTCATTCCATGCCTAAAACACTTGGTGCTGTGTACTCATGCTGAGTACTGTATATGATATTCGGTCATTGACTTCAACCAGCATCCCCTGCCCAGATTCTTGACATCCAGCAGCCAGCTAGGGAGAGAGGATCTTGCTGTGTGGGTCACCATATTTGTTTCAGAGGGTTATCAGAACATCACTTATCATGATGGATCTGCATCGCTAAATGATGTGATTGATGTTGCATTGGCAGTGTGCAACATGGTCCCCAACATGGTGATGGGAACGAACACCTCATCCTCACATCCCTGACCCGGCAAATGATGGGTCTTCGGGGGGGGGGGGGGAACCTTCTCGGATAAGAAGGCCTCAAGATATCCAGCCTACTCCCCAATATGAAAGAATACCTCTTGTTACTCACTCACAGAGATCTGTGGACATGATTACCCACAACAACAACTCTCTCCCATCATACTTCACCCTGACCTGGTGGGTGGTGGGTCTTATAAAACCTTCTCAGATAGGGGATCTCAAAATATTCAGCCTTCCCCCCAATGGGCATGAATACCCCTTGTTACTCGTTCTCAAAGACCTGTGGACATGATGACCCAGAACAACAATGATTCTCTCCTGTCGCACTCTACCCTGACCGGGTGGATGGTGGGTCTTCAGGAGAGAACCTTCTTAGATAAGAGGCCTTTAAAAATATCCAGCCTTTCCCCCCAATGTGAATGAATACCCCTTGTTAATCGCTCTCAAAGACCTGTGGACATGACGACCCAGAATAACTACGATCCTCTCCTGTCACACTCCACCCCTGAACTGATGGATGATGAGTCTTTAGGAGAGAACCTTCTCAGATAAGAGGGCTTCAAAATATCCAGCCTTTACCCCCAATGTGAATGAATATTCCTTGTTACTCGCACTCAAAGACCTGTGGACATGATGACCCAGAACAACAATGATCCTCTCCTGTTGCACTCCACCCTGACGTGGTGAATGATGAGTCTTCAAGAGAGAACCTTCTCAGATAAGAGGGTCTCAAAATATCCATCCACCCCTCCCCCTTCCCCCTTGTGAATTAGTACCCCTTGTTACTCACTCACAAAAATCCTTGGGAATGATGGGCCACAATGACCCTCTCCCCGTCACACTCCAACCGCAAATGACAACTGCCCGGCCAGGGATGCTGGCAGACATCACATGGGATCTCCCTGGCCACTTTGTTTACAAACAAAAGTCAGCCAGGAAAGAGTTGTCATATAGTGGCAATTATTTTTTTTATTCTCACTATCGCTGCAGTACACCTTACAGGTTGACTATTTCATGTGCAGTTTTAAAGCATCCTCTGAGCATGTTATTTAAAGGAATTGTGTATTTTAATGTTGCCCTTTAGGACTTATTAAAGGGCCTCCTCTCCCCTGAGTGATATTTTCAATTGCTCTCACGAACTGAACCCAGATCGGTCCACTCATCACTAGGAAGCATGGTACGGGCAGTCGTTGCAACACAAAGGCAGCAGATGGGCAATTGTTACACTATGTGGGCAACAAACGGGCTGCCCCTGCAATAGGCAGGCAACAAACGGGCTGCCCCTGCAATAGGCAGGCAACAAATGGGCAATCACTGCAATACACAATCAAGAAACTGACAATCAAACAGATTGGCCAGAGTCTCTGGAGAAAACCTGGTAAGTTCCCAGTTATGATTAGTTGTGTACATGGAGGCCAACATATTTGCTCACATATGCAGACTCTACTTCCAGCTTCGTAGAGCTGAACAATGGTTGTGCCATAGAGTTCCTCCTCCTTCTACAAGTCTGCTAGTCAAGTCCAACAGATAACAGTGCAGCCTACGTGACTGAGGTTCTACATCAGTTGTTGCAGAATAAGGAAGGACTGCATACCAATACAAATAGATGCTTGAAGGGAAATCTGGAGGCAGTCGTTGAAAAGAAAGAATGCAAATTGTGAAAGTCAAATAAAAAATCAATTTGCAGTAAGCAATATAGTAACACAGATATGTGCTCAGTAAAAAGATCCAGTTTTCCTCTAAGTGTTGCCAGAGGCTGTCTTTGCACCTGATCAGCATGAATGGCATGCAGAGGTGTCAGAGCACCGGGGTCACTAAACAATTCAGTTATGTATCTGCCTGGAACATATTAACGAGTAAGTATGATAGGAATGTGACAACTCCAAAACTGTCACTTTTATTTCATACATTCGTATTCGCAGTCATCGGTTTGATCCCTCTCTTGCTACTTGAGTCTTGGCGTAGTCTCTTGAGTCATGGTGAGGTCATTCGCCGTCTGTCATGCTTTGCATGTGTCTGCGAATCCATTTTTCAAACAATAAAATATACAGTAATATACAAAAGTGCAGCGCTTCAAAACATTTTTAACCTCTTCACGCCGGCCGCACACAAATGTGCGGTCTCCCAACATCTGGGCCTAGACGCCGGGCGGCCGCACATTTGCGTTCTATTAAAAAAAGGATGTGAGCCAAGAGCGCGCTCCCAGCACACATGTCCGGTACTCACGGAAAGGTCCCGATCTCTTCTTTCGATCGGGACCTTTCCCGGTTATGTGAACGCCATGACGTCGAGTCACGGCGGTCACATGACCCGAAACCCCGCCCCCCCGGCTTCTGGAAACCTTAAAGGTCCGGGAGGCGCCGGCGTGAAGAGGTCAAACTTAAAAGTCCAATCCAAAAGATGAAGATATATAAAATAAGCCCCTCTTCACTGGAACCTCAGTGCTACTAAAGATGTCTCAAAAATGGCCAGGAGAAGATAGAAAAGAGTCCACCATCAACAAACACTCTGCCTCTTACCAGATCATGTTGATCCCTAGTTATGGATGGGTCAAAAAAAAACGCTGTATAAGTTCCAAAAGGCAAGCCGCAGACCTGGACACTCTTTGCTTCCAAACTCTCACATCAGAAAGTGGGCTATAGGATGAACCTATAAAGGAATTATCTTCATAGAGGACAACCCTCTAAAGTCCTCTGGCTTTGGCTGGGTCGGTTTGCCCACTTAGGCTGTCTCTGCTGGCCTCCACTGACTGCTCTGGGTAACCACTTAGACTGGCTCTGGCCTCCACCACACTCGCTTCACATCTCTCTCCCCTGACTAGGCTCTCTCCACTTGGCTCTGTGTCTCAGTGACAGTCCATACCTGCTCCTCCTTGCTCTGGTTGGGTCGGCAGCAGCGGCTCTTCACACTCCAGGTTATGTGGTCTTTGTGACGAGTCCACTGTTCAGCAAGGGAATATGTCACCAGCACACCGAGGATCTCCAATATGGGTCCAAAAGTTTTAATGAACAATCACATTGTTACAGCAAGGCAACATTTTGGATTCTCGCAGGCTATGTCACATGCCTGATGAAGGGGTCCTGTGACCTCTGCCTTGCTGTAACTTTGTGATCGTTCATTAACCTCTTGCCGTCCGCCTGCTGTTTATAAACGGCAGGGCGGTGGCAGTTCAGGGGCGGGTTGCCGTTCATAAAACGGCACCCGCCTTTTCTAGCTGTGCGCGCTCCCTGGGAGCGCGCACCACCGCGATCCGGTGCCTGCTGTGTCCTCTGAACGTCGGACGGGACCTCTGTACGAGGTCCCGATCATGTGATCACTGATTGGCGAATCAGTGATCACATGCAAAGTAGTAAGCAAGATGTCACTTGTGACATCATTGCTTACTACGTGTGAAATCTGTGAATGATCACAGAGGTCACATGGTACAAGGCTATTCACAACAGCCTTGTACCATGTGACAAGCTGTGACCAATCACAGCTCACTCAGTACTTCTCAATGACTGCAAGAATGCAGACAGAGAAAAAGAGAAATGATTGCTTTTACATTCTATATGGGTGTAAAAGCAATCAGTGTAAAAAAAAAAAAAAAAGTCTTCATCACCCCCCACAAGTAGTACAGTGTCACCATGGTGGCACTGTACTGCTAGGGTGACAGTATGTAAAAAAATAAAAAAAAATTAAAAATAATAGTATAAAAAAAAAAATAAAAATGTAAAAAAAAAATGTTTAAAAATGATAATTTTTGGTTATAAACTAATTTGGATTTTTTTTTTTACTAAAAAAATAACAGAATAAATTTTGGCCAAGATTTATGATGAAATATTATTTATTTGCAAAATTTTATTAAAAAAAAACCACTTTTTTTTTCAAACTTTTTGGACATTTTCATTTACATAGTAAAAAAAATAAAAATCCCAGCGGTGAATAAATACCACCAAAATAAAGCTTTATCTGTCTCAAAAAAAATTGTAAAAAATTCATATGGGTACAGTATTGCATGACCGCGCAATTGTCATTCAAAGTGTGATAGCGCTGAAAGCTGAAAATTGCCCCGGTCAGGAAGGGGGTAAAAGTGTCCCGGACAGGAAGTGGTTAAAACTTTTGGACCCATATTGGTGATATTCGGTGTGCTGGTGACATTTTCCCTGGCGATTCTGTTGGGTTCCAGCCGACGGTCATTGCAGCACCCACTTATACACACCGTCATTTGTAACGCAGGAACGTGTGCATTTGGATTGTACACTTGAGTCCACTGTTCAGACAGAAAAGTTGCACTCTCCTCTACCTCTCCACGTGCTCACGCAACTAATTGGCTCAAGGCAGGCTTTTTTAATAAAATATACAGGGTGAGTTGAAGTTCAAAAATTTTCAAACTTTGCAGTGAACTCCTCGGAAATCTATGGGGGACATGTAGACAGGTGTGGGCTGCAGTATATCTACTAACCTGAAGGTGGTACTGTGCCGTTTCTTCAGATGGCGGAAGACTATTGAGGACTAATTGTCTCCTGCAATGGGCTCCAGGGAGCCATCTTGGGGAGGAGGGCAATACTATTGGAGACCAAAATCCTACAAGATTTTGGTGGGTATCTTGACTCAGAATTCCATAAATAGGAGATTATGAGCCATATAGTGTGCCCACATTTGGGAATAAGATAGGAAGAGAGCCAAGCTGGATAGGAAAGAGAACCAAGCTGGATAGGGAGCAGGGGCGGACTGACAACTCATGGGGCCCCCGGGCAATAGGGGATCATGGGGGCCCTGTGTCCTTGCCCAAGCTCAAAAAAGCCAATGAAAAAGGCACCGGGGCATCTCATGGGGCCCCCTACTGACCCCGGGCCCTCGGGCAGTGCCTGAGTTTCCAAATGGTCAGTCCACCCCGATAGGGAGAGATCAGGAATAATATTAGGGAGAGGTACCTGTTGAGTATGTTCCCCCTTTGAGGGTGTCTCATCTGTCAGCTTCCTGGAACAATCCCCCAGTGGCAGCTGGATATCTGTAAGAATTTTTGGGGATCGCAGTGTGTACAAGCTGTATCATAGCTCCAAGGGAAGTGCTCCTCTGGCATTCTGTGGTCTGTAATTGCATGACATGTTCGTTCAGCTGACCGGGCGCAAAGTCTAGCACACAATAATAGGTTATTTCTTATTCCTGGTGGCAAACCTGCAAAACTTTTGACTAAAACGTTTCGCAAACTTTGCGAGCCCCCGGGATTGGATATGAACCTATAGTAGTGACAAATGTGAATTTTATCCCTAAACAAGAAATTTATGAAAAAAAAATGCCCACTGTTTATGATACACAATGCACACTACGGGGTCTATTTGTGAAACATTTGTTGCACAAATGTCAGAAGTACCAGTGCAAGCTGAACCATATTTTATTCCTAAGAGATTTTTTGCATGTTTTGTTCAGTTTACACTAATGCTTCTGATATTTGTACAACAAATGTTTTATAGGCAAACCCCTAAATGGTATTCTTTTCACATTATTTTCAAGCTATGCTTACTCTGCATTTGCTATATCCACTCTCCCTCAGACCCTGCATTCACTATATCTGGGTCTTCCTGGACCCTGCATTCACTATATCTGCTCTACTCCCCCCAGACCCAAAGCATTCACTATATCCGCTCTCCCCGGACCCCGCATTCACTATATCCGCTCTCCCCGGACCCTGCATTCACTATATCTGCTCTCCCCGGACCCTGCATTCAATATATCTGGTCTCCCCAGACCCTGCATTCACTATATCTGGTCTTCCTGGACCCTGCATTCAACTATATCTGGTCTCCCCGGACCCTGCATTCACTATATCTGGTCTTCCTGGACCCTGCATTCACTATATCTGCTCTCCCCCAGACCCTGCATTCACTATATCCGCTCTCCCCCGACCCTGCATTCAATATATCTGGTCTCCCCAGACCCTGCATTCAACTATATCTGGTCTCCCAGACCCTGCATTCACTATATCTGCTCTTCCCGGACCCTGCATTCACTATATCTCTCTCTCCCCGGACCCTGCATTCACTATATCTGGTCTCTCCTGGACCCTGCATTCACTATATCTGGTCTCCCCAGACCCTGCATTCACTATATCTGGTCTCCCCGGACCCTGCATTCACTATATCTGGTCTCCCCGGACCCTGCATTCACTATATCTGGTCTCCCCGGACCCTGCATTCACTATATCCCCGGTCTCCCCAGGACCCTGCATTCACTATATCTGGTCTCCTTGGACCCTGCATTCACTATATCTGGTCTCCCCGGACACCTGCATTCACTATATCTGGTCTCCCAGACCCTGCATTCACTATATCCTCTCCTCCCCGGACCCTGCATTCACTATATCTGGTCTCCCCAGACCCTGCATTCACTATATCCGTTCTCCCTGGACCCTGCATTCACTATAATCTGGTCTCCCCCAGGACCCTGCATTCACTATATCTGGTCTCCCCGGGACCCTGCATTCACTATATCTGGTCTCCCCGGACCCTGCATTCACTATATATGGTCTCCCCCGGACCCGCATTCACTATACTCTGGTCTGGTCCCCCTCCATGACCCTGCATTCACTATATCTGGTCTCTTGGGACCCTGCATTCACTATATCTGGTCTTCCCTGGACCCTGCATTCACTATATCTGGTCTCCCCCAGGGACCCTGCATTCACTATATCGGCTCTCCGGACCCCGCATTCACTATATCTGCTCTCCCCAGACCCTGCATTCACTACATCATCTGGTCTCCCCGGACCCTGCATTCAATATATCTGGTCTCCCCAGACCCTGCATTCACTATATCTGGTCTCCTGGACCCTGCATTCACTATATCTGGTCTCCCCGACCCTGCATTCACTATAAACTGGTCTCTGGACCCATGCATTCACTATATCTGCTCTTCCCCCAGACCCTGCATTCACTGGTCCGCTTCCCCACCCCGACCCTGCATTCACTATATCTGGTCTCCCCGGACCCTGCATTCACTATATCTGGTCTCCCCAGACCCTGCATTCACTATATCTGTCTTCACCCAGACCCTGCATTCACTATATCTGGTCTCCCCCGGACCCTGCATTCACTAATATCTGGTTTCTCCCCTGGACCCTGCATTCACTATATCCGGTCTCCCCAGACCCTGCATTCACTATATCTGGCTCGACTCTCCCCGGACCCTGCATTCACTATATCTGTCTCCCCGGACCCTGGCATTCACTATATCCGCTCCCCCGGTACCCTGCATTCACTATATCTGGTCTCCCCGGTCTCCTGGACCCTGCATTCACTATATCTGCTCTCCCCCGGACCCTGCATTCACTATATCTGGTCTCCCCCGGACCCTGCATTCACTATATCTGGTCTCCCCAGACCCTGCATTCACTATATCATCTGGTCTCCCGGACCCTGCATTCACTATATCTGGGTCGTCTCCGGACCCTGCATTCAATTATCTGGACCCTGCAGACCTGCATTCACTATATCCTGGTCTCCCCGGACCCTGCATTCACTATATCCGGGTCTCTCTCCCCGGACCCCGGACGCATTCACTATATCTGGTCTCCCCAGACCCTGCATTCACTATATCTGGTCTCCCCAGACCCGCATTCACTATTCTGGTCTCCCCGGACCCTGCCTTCACTATATCTGGTCTCCCCAGGGACCCTGCATTCACTATATCTGGTCTCCCGGACCCTGCAATCACTATATCTGGTCTCCCCAGACCCTGCATTCACTATATCTGGTCTCCCCTGACCCTGCATTCACTATATCTGGTCTCCCCAGACCCTGCATTCACTATATCTGGTCTCCCCAGACCCTGCATTCACTATATCTGGTCTCCCCCGGACCCTGCATTCACTATATCTGGTCTCCGGAGACCCTGCATTCACTATATCTGGTCTCCCCCGTATCCCTATACCCTGCATTCACTATATCTGGTCTCCCCGGACCCTGCATTCACTATATCCGTTGGTCTCCTGGGACCCTGCATTCACTATATCTGGTCTTCCCCGGAGCGGCATCCCTTCTCCTGGGACCTGCATTCACTATATCTGGTCTCCCAGACCCTGCATTCACTATATCTGGTCTCCCTGGATACCGTCACGGTCTGGTTCCCCGACCCCGCATTCACTATATCTGGTCTGGTCTCCCCAGCCCTGCATTCACTATATCTGGTCTCCTTGGACTTGGACCCTGCATTCACTATATCTGGTCTCCCCCAGAACCTGCATTCACTATATCTGGTCTCCCCAGACCCTGCATTCACTATATCCACTCTCCCCGGACCCTGCATTCACTATATCTGGTCTCCCGGACCCTGCATTCACTATATCTGCTCTCCCCCGGACCCTGCATTCACTATATGTGATCTCCCAGACCCTGCATTCACTATATCTGGTCTCTCCGGACCCTGCATTCACTATATCCGGTCTCCCCGGACCCTGCATTCACTATATGTGGTCTCCCCAGACCTGCATTCACTATAAATCCGGTCTCCCCGGACCCTGCATTTACTATATCGGTCTCCCCGACCCTACATTCACTATATATGGTCTCCCCGGACCCCGCATTCACTATATCCGGTCTCCCCAGACCCTGCATTCACTATATCCGCTCTCCCCGGACCCTGCATTCACTATATGTGATCTCCCAGACCCTGCATTCACTATATCTGGTCTCCCGGACCCTGCATTCACTATATCCGGTCTCCCCGGACCCTGCATTCACCGGTATTGTATTCACTATATCCGGTCTCCCCGGACCCTGCATTCACTATATCCGGTCTCCCCGGACCCTGCATTCACTATATCCGGTCTCCCCAGACCCTGCATTCACTATATTTGATCTCCCCGGACCCTGCATTCACTATATCCCAGGGGCGGACTGACAACTCATGGGCCCCCAGGCAATAGGAGATAATGGGGCCCCCTGTTCCCCCGCCTACACTCAAGCCACCCACACAACACCCTACCTACATATTGCAGCTCAGCTGCATAGAAGGGGCATTTAAATATTTACTGTAGAAAAGTCTGCATGAATGTTCCCAGCTTCTTGCTGTAGAAGCCACTGGACACTTCCAGGTTTAAACATGGCTGCCATGTGGGGGAAGTGAAAGAGAGAGGGGAGTGAGAGGGTGAAAAAGAGGAGGGGTTATGAGAGAGAGAGAGAGAGAGAGAGAGAGAGAGAGAGAGAGAGAGAGAGAGAGCGAAAGAGAGAGAGAGAGAGGAGTGAGAGAGAGAGAGAGGAAGTAATGAGAGAGGAGGGGTGTGTTTTAAATTGCGCTACAAATTGGGCGTGGCTTAAAAGGGGTGGTGTTAAATAGTGTCTGAGATGACTTATATAGTGCAGAATGAGGTCATGTTAAATAGGGAATGTACAGTGTGGAGTGTATGACAGTGGGTAGTATGTACAGGGAGAGGAGTATGGAGTGTATGACAGTGGGTAGTATGTACAGGGAGAGGAGTATGGAGTGTATGACAGTGGGTAGTATGTACAGGGAGAGGAGTATGGAGTGTATGACAGTGGGTAGTATGTACAGGGAGAGGAGTATGGAGTGTATGACAGTGGGTAGTATGTACAGGGAGAGGAGTGCTGATTGTATGGCTGTGGGAAGTATGTGTAGCATGATGTCAGTAGTTCTTCATTTTTATTAGTATATAATTTTTTTTTTTTTTTACAATTTTATGATTTTTTTTTACAAATTAATGTTTTATTATTTTTATAATTTTTTTTTTTCAAAATGTTTTGGGTGGCCAGTGGATGGTGTCAGTAGAGCAAAGGTGTGGGTGTCAGAATTTTTTAATTTTTATTGTCTAATTTGTAATTATTTTTTACAATTTATTTCTGTATTATTTTTTTTCGCAATGATTTTGTGGGGGCAGTGGACAGTGTCAGTAGGGAGTGAACAGGGAGCACTAGTATATGTTGGGCTGTCATTAGATTGGGATGAATAAACAGAATATGTACCCCCTTATCGGAATGAAGAGAATGGATGGAGGGAAGGAAGGAAGGAAGAAAAGGGAGGGAGGGGATGGATGGAGGAAGGAAGGGGAGAGAAGGAAGGATGGATGGGAGGAAAGAATGAAGGGAGGGGATGGAGGAAGGAAAGGAGGGAAGAAAAGGGAGGGAGGAAATGGATGGAGGAAGGAAGGAAGGAATGAAGGAAGGAAGGAAAGAAAGAAAGAAAGAAAGAAAGAAAGAAAGAAAGAAAGAAAGAAAGAAAGAAAGAAAGAAAGATAAAATGGATGGAGGAAGGAAGGAATGAAGGAAAAAGAGGGAAGGAAGGGGAGGGAGGAAAGGAAGGAAGGGGAGGGAGGAAAGGAAGGAAGGGGAAGGAAGGAAGGAAGGAAGGAAGGAAAGGGAGGGAAGGAAATGAAAGGAGGGGAGGGAGGAAGGAAGGAAATGAAAGGTAGGGGAGGAGGAAAGAATGAAGGGAGGAGATGGAGGAAAGAAAGGAAGGAAGGAAGGAAGGAAAGGAAGGAAGGAAGGAAGGAAGGAAGGAAGGAAGGAAGGAAAGGGAGGGAATAATAGTTGAAGGAAGGAATGAATGAATGGATGGAGGAAGGGATGAAGGAAGGGGAGGGAAGGAAGGAAGGAAGGAAGGAAGGAGGGGAAGGAAGAAAAGGGAATGGATAGAGAAAGGAAGGGAAGAAGGGAAGGGATGGATGGAGGAAGGAAGGTAATGGATGGATAAAAGAATGAAGGAAAGGGAGGGAAGGAAGGATGGGAGAGAGGAAGGAAGGAAATGAAAGGAGGGGAGGGAGGCAGGAAGGAAACGAAAGGAGGGGAGGGAGGAAAGAATGAAGGAAGGGAGGGGAGGGAGGAAGGAAGGAAGGAAGGAAGGAAGGAAGGAAGGAAGGGAGGAAGGGAGAAAGGAAGGAAGGATTGAAGGAGGGGGAGGGAAGGGGGAAAGAAGGAAGGGATGATTGAAGGATAAGGAGGGAGGGAAGGAAAAATTAAGGGAGGGGATAGAGGAAGGAATGAAGGTAAAGAAGAAATGGGAGGGAGGAAATGGAGGAAGGAAGGAAAGAAGAACATGGATGGAGGAAGGAATTAAGGAAGGGGAGGGAAGGAATGAGGGGAGGGAGGAAGAAAGGAAGAAAAAGGAGGGATGAAATGAAGGAAGGAAGTAAAGAAGGGGAGGGAGAGCGAAAAGAAGGAAGGGAGGGAGGGAAGGAAGGAAAGAATGAAGGGAGGGGATGGAGGGAGGGAGGGAGTGGAATGGAGGAAGGAAGGAAATGGATGGAGGAAGGAAGGAAGGAAGGAAGGAAGGAAGGAAGGAAGGAAGGAAGGGAGGGAGAGAGGAAGGAAGGAAGGAAGGAAGGAAGGAAGGAAGAAAAAGGGAGGGAGGGAATGGATGAAGGAAGGAAGGAAGGAAAGAAGGGAGGGAAGGATGAAAAGGGAGGGAAGGAATGGATGGAGGAAGGAAGGAATGAAGGAGGGGTGGGAAGGAGGAAGGAAGAAATGAAGGAACGGAAGAAGGGAGGAAGGAATGAAGGCAATGAAAGGAGAGATGGGAGGAAAGAATGAAAGGAGGGGAGGGATGAAAGAAATAAGGGAGGGGATGGAGGAAGGAAGAAAAGGGAGGGAATGAATGGAGGAAGGAAGTAAGGAATGGATGAGAAAGAGGGGGCGCCCAGGAGGGAAATCCGATGCACCACAGTCAGGGATGATCAGTGCAGTAGAGGGACAGTGACAGCACCGATCTCCCTGCATGGATTTCAGCAAGGCAGCTGGAAGCCTCCCCTCCCGTCACCCGACTCAATCTGCCCTCAGTGAGATACTTCTGGGTCGGGATCTGAGACTGCCTCCTCCTCCGCTCCCCACAATGTCACTGGATAGTGATCCTCTCACAGGCCCCCTACTGACCCTCGGGCAATGCCCAAATGTCCAAATGGTCAGTCCGCCCCTGCTATATCCAGTCTCCCCGGACCCCGCATTCACTATATCTGATCTCCCCGGACCTTGCATTCACTATATCTTATCTCCCAGGACCCTGCATTCACTTTATCTGCTCTCCCCGGACCCCGCATTCACTATATCCGCTCTCCCCGGACTCTGCATTCACTATATCCAGTCTCCCCGGACCCTGCATTCACTATATCTGGTCTCCCCGGACCCTACATTCACTATATCTGGTCTCCCCGGACCTTGCATTCACTATATCTGGTCTCCCCGGACCCTGCATTCACTATATCCGCTCTCCCCGGACCCTGCATTCACTATATCTGGTCTCCCCGGACCCTGCATTCACTATATCCGCTTTCCCCAGACCTTGCATTTACTTTATCTGGTCTCCCGGACCCTGCATTCACTATATCGCTCTCTCCCCGGACCCTGCATTTACTGTATCCGGTCTCCCGGACCCTGCACTCAGCACGAGAGACCAGGAGTGCCGACAGGGGACCCAAGAAGAGGAGGGACGGGGGACCCAAGAAGGGGAGGGTCGAGGCTGCTCTGTGTAAAACCATTACTGAGCAGGTAAGTATAACATCTTTGTTTTTTGGAAAAAAAATCAGCCTTCAATACAGGGGTAGGCAACGTTTAAGAGGTGGAGATCTATCTGAACAACGTGGGAGAAGTCAAAGATCACCGGGCACAGTGTCGCCTCCTCACACCTGATTTAATCTTCTAATTGCCGTACTACCATGTCGCAATTGCGTGCAATGCACGGCAATCATGAGTATAAATCAGGAGGTGAGGAAGCCTCCTCACCGCCTGTCAAACACACTCAGATCGCTTTGCAGAGGAGCAGCAGTGTCTACTGCACCCGTGAATGAGCCCTTTGTTGCAATCGGTAGTGACACCCTAAGGGCTTGTTCACATGTAAAGTTTTACTGCCCCCCCCAATCCCTACCCCCTTTAGCTACTGAGCAGCAACCAAAGGTGTACACATGCTGCAGCAGGAATTACACCCCAGGTTGCTTTTGGTGGGTGCTACCGCCTGTCAACCGAGACCCATTCAATAAAATGGGGAAACTCTACAAGTGCCCTGCAACTGCATGCCTCTGCGTGGTCCAACGGCTTAAAGCAGATGGTAAGAAAGTACACACCGCTGCCTGTTTAACTGCTTGTTTGCTGTACTGCACAAGGTTGCAGAGCAATTGCAGAGCGGCCTCATTCACTTGAATGGGTCATGCTTGGCTGGTACTACATCCACCAAACATGACAGGGCATAGGAGCCAGCACTACAGAGGAGACATCAGCTTGATGCTCTGGAATGGCATGTCAGCAAGCCCAGACCGAGGTCTACCAGTCACCTGGCCAAGATCTACTGGTAGATCACGATCTACTGGTTGCTGACCCCCGCTTTAAAATCACTTTAAAACCCCCTGTATCCTTAGTACCCACCATAAGCACCTTCGTTACCTATGCATTTCACCAAGACGGTGACATTTTGTAGAGATCTAACAATTTTCACCAAAATTTTGGGGAAATGAAACCTCTCAATTTTGCTCATCCCAAGTGACCTATAAATAATTATCAACTTTTGAGTGGGTTGACCGTTGTCTATGTAGTATATCATATTGTCAATCTAGGTCACCAATGTTCAATGGCTTCTTAGGTTTCTGTATCCTTAGTACCCACCATAAGCACCTTTGTTACCTATGCATTTCACCAAGACGGTGACATTTTGTAGAGATCTAACAATTTTCACCAAAATTTGTGGGAAATGAAACCTCTCAATTTTACTCATCCCAAGTGACCTATAAATTAGTTTTTTACTTTTGAGTGAGTTGATCGTTGTCTTTGTAGTATATCATATTGTCAGTCTAGGTCACCAATGTTCAATGGCTTCTTATGTTTCTTATCCCCCATCACTCACACTTCCATGAAAAGTATTTTTAGAACTCAGTCAGACAACCCCACTTCAGGTGTAAATGATGCTCTTCTTGTGTTGAAGAGCTCCTATTTTTGGAAATGGAATGTTTACACTGAAACTTTCCAGTAACCTTCCAGTCAGTGAGTCAACGGTTCTATCACCAACAACTCTAAGCAAACATCATAAAGAATATGTAAACCCAACATTTCATATTCCTGATATGTGCCGGCTGTACCATGTACTTGTATGAAAAAGTATCCTGTTCTCTTTGTACTCTTTGTATTGCTTCCTTTGTGTGAAATCCCTGGTGTTCCTGCCAGTACTTCTGCTTTCCTATTAAGAAACTGACTACTCTAGGCATGAGAGCACAGCGTGGTCAGTTCTGTAGCTGTGCTGGGAACTCAGTGTGCTCTCCTACAATGATCAGACTTGTCTTGACACCAGGGACGGACTGACAACTCATGGGGACCCCAGGGAATTGGAAATCATTGGGCCCCTGTGTCCTCACCAACACTCAAACCACACCCAATAAAGCCTATTAAAGGTATCAGGGGCATCTCATGGGGCCCCCTACTGACCCCGGGCCCTCGGGCACTGTCCAAGTGCCCAAATGGTCAGTCCACTCCTGCTTGACACCCTCCTTTGCACAGCCTTTCACTGGAAAGATTGGTGTTCTGCTGTTTCTCCTCCTCCAGTTTATACAACTGAGAACAGAGGGTATGTGGTCACTTATAAAAAAGGGGGAAAAGGGGTATTTATAACGTTTTCTATAACTATACACAAATGTTTTGCCTTTCATTTCTATTTTAAATTGAATGGATTGTTTTGCAAGGTGAGGGCTTACAAGCACTTTAAGAAGGGAACACATCAATCAGATAGCAAACTGTGCTAACCCCATAATGTATTAATATCACATCCCAATGCTCAATAAAGTGAAATAAAATTAATTGGACAATAATATCACCCAAACTGTCCTCTCTCCGCTCCTCGCACAACCTCCTGCTCTCTAGCTCCCTTGTCTCCTTCCATGCTCATCTCCAGGAGCCTCCCCCATCCTCTGTAACTCTCTAGCCCAATTTATCAGACCATTGCCTATTCTGCTCACTTTTAGGCGATCTCTGAAAACCTATCTCTTCAGGGAAGCCTATCCTGCCCTCAGCTAATAATGGAATCTTCTACTCCTCCTACCAGTCCATCCCCCACAGTTACTACCTTTTGTACCATTAGCCCCTCCCTCTTAGATTGTAAGCTCCAAGGAGCAGGGCCCTCCTAACCAGGGGAGGACTGACAACTCATGGGGCCCCCGGGCAATAGGGGATCATGGGGTCCCTGTGTCCTTGCCCAAACTCAAAAAAGCCTATGAAAAAGGTACCAGGGGCATGTCATGGTGCCCCTTACTGACCCCGGGCCCTCGTGCAGTGCCCAAGTTTCCCCTGACCATCCCCCCTAATGTATCATGAGTTGTAGATATAGTAATTTTTAGCAGGGGTTCCCCCAAGATCGGAAGGTTTTTCAAGGGTTCCTCTGTGTTGAAAAGGTTGAGAAAGGCTGATGTAGCCCATAGGTTACTAAAGCTAGTCTAGCTGGTCAGAAATTAGAGGCTCTTTAGGGGTTGCTGCTTGTCCTTACACCCTCCCCTTTTACCCCTCTTTTACCCTTTCACTCTTTCTCTTCACATATTTTCTTGCCTCTAGTTCTCTCTTTTCTCTCATCTTAGTTTTTCCCTTTTGTTCTGATGTTTATTCACCTAGACACTCTAGAACAGTGTCTATGAAACTTATTGAGACCAGGGCAGGGCCTGGTAAATTCTTCCAAAACCTTCAATGCCTCAACGTTAATAAAAAAAAAGTTTATACTAGCATAATAAAATATGGAAAAACATGTATTAAATAGCTGGAGGGTTCTGGATGGGGCTGTGAGGGATAGGGTTTCTGAGGGACTTTGGAGCAGGCTTGGTGGCCCTGTAAGATGAGGTTTCTGAAGGAAGCTGGGAGCAGCTGTGAGGGGTAGGGTCTCTGGAGGGGGCTGTGGGTCTCTCCAAAAGGTTGTGTGCTTTGCAGGGGTACTGGGGAGACTGAGGGGCACTGTGGGACAATTTTTGAGGTTTAGGGTACTATAGGGGGCTACAGCAAGATAGGGGGTGGGGAGCCATGTGGAAGGCTGGGTGTTACTCTGGAATCTTGGGAGGGGGCGCTCTCAGGGGGCCTGGGAGCTATGTGGGAGGTTGAGGAGCACTGTCTGTCACTATGGAAGGGTGGGGGGGGGACCTATGGGAGTTGGGATGGTGGTCTTGGTATGGTGGTTGAGAACCTCCTCCACACAGCTTCACTCCATTTCTATCTCTTCCATTATTACATTCTGTAGTGTAACCTTTGTTCCCACAATGGAGCTAGCATATTAATATCAGCTGATAAACAAGATGTTAATTACCTTGATATTAATAATGATATTTCATCCCAGTTGGGTCTATTAATTACCATATTTTTCGCTACATAAAACGCACTTTTTTCCCCCCGAAAAAGGGGGGAAAATGTCAGTGCGTCTTATGGAGCAAATATAGAGCGGCCGGTCTGGTATTCACCACCGCCGCCGTGTCAGAATATCGGGCCGGCCGCTTGTCTCTTCTCTACAGCAGGACCTTACCTGTTCCTCGGTCCAGCACTGAGAAAGCTTCCCGCGACGGCATCTTTAGTGTGGGCTCTCGGCAGTGACAGCCGGGTGCCCAGTGAGCATGCATGAGAAGCGCTGCACTCTGTGAATAGTACTGCATTTTCTGATACACATGACAGGTCCCAGAAGACACCGGACCAATCACAAAGTGCAGCGCTTCTCACGCATGCTCACTGGGCACCCGGCTGTCACTGCCGAGAGCCCACACTAAAGGGAGGACCACTCCTCGGAAGTGGAAGCGGGTACCTGTCAAATTCAAGTACCCGCTCCCCCTCCCTCCCCAAAGGTCCACATTCTCTTAGTCATCCCCTGTACTGTCTGCAGTCTCTGGTCATCCCCTGTACTGTCTGCAGTCTCTGGTCATCTCCTGTACAGTCCGCAGTCTCTGGTCATCTCCTGTACTGTCCGCAGTCTCTGGTCATCTCCTGTACAGTCCGCAGTCTCTGGTCATCTCCTGTACTGTCTGCAGTCTCTGGTCATCCCCTGTACTGTCCTCAGTCTGTCTGTCATCTCCTGCACTCCGTGTCTCAGTCTGGTCATCCCTCACTGCACCACAGTGTCCACAGTCCTCAGTGGTCATCCCCTGTACTGTCCTCAGTCTCTTGGTCATCTCCTGTACTGTCTCAGTCTCTGGTCATTCTCCTGTACTGTCCGCAGTCTCTGGTCATCTCCTGTACTGTCCTGCAGTCTCTGGTCATCCCCTGTACTATGTCCGCAGTCTCTGGTCATCTCCTGTACTGTCCGCAGTCTCTGGTCATCTCCTGTACTGTGTCCGCAGTCTCTGGTCATCTCCTGTAGTATGTCTGCAGTCTCTGGTCATCTCTGTACTGTGTCAGTCTCTGGTCATCTCCTGTACTGTGTCCGCAGTCTCTGGTCATCTCCTGTGGTACTGTGTCCGCAGTCTCTGGTCATCTCCTGTACTGTATGTCCTGCAGTCTCTGGTCATCTCCTGTACTGTGTCCGCAGTCTCTGGTCATCTCCTGTACTGTGTCCGCAGTCTCTGGTCATCTCCTGTACTGTGTCTCAGTCTCTGGTCATCTCCTGTACTATGTCTGCAGTCTCTGGTCATCTCCTGTACTGTGTCCGCAGTCTCTGGTCATCTCCTGTACTGTGTCCGCAGTCTCTGGTCATCTCTCCTGTACTATGTCTGCAGTCTCTGGTCATCTCTCCTGTACTGTGTCCGCAGTCTCTGGTCATCTCCTGTACTGTGTCCGCAGTCTCTGGTCATCTCCTGTACTGTGTCCGCAGTCTCTGGTCATCTCCTGTACTGTGTCCGCAGTCTCTGGTCATCTCCCTGTACTGTGTCCGCAGTCTCTGGTCATCTCCTGTACTGGTCCGCAGTCTCTGGTCATCTCCTGTACTGTGTCCGCAGTCTCTGGTCATCTCCTGTACTATGTCCGCAGTCTCTGGTCATCCCCTGTACTGTGTCCGCAGTCTCTGGTCATCTCCTGTACTGTGTCCGCAGTCTCTGGTCATCTCCTGTACTGTGTCCGCAGTCTCTGGTCATCTCCTGTACTGTGTCCGCAGTCTCTGGTCATCTCCTGTACTGTGTCCGCAGTCTCTGGTCATCTCCTGTACTGTGTCCGCAGTCTCTGGTCATCTCCTGTACTGTGTCCGCAGTCTCTGGTCATCTCCTGTACTGTGTCCGCAGTCTCTGGTCATCTCCTGTACTATGTCTGCAGTCCTCTGGTCATCTCCTGTACTGTGTCCGCAGTCTCTGGTCATCTCCTGTACTGTGTCCGCAGTCTCTGGTCATCTCCTGTACTGTGTCTGCAGTCTCTGGTCATCTCCTGTACTGTGTCCGCAGTCTCTGGTCATCTCCTGTACTGTGTCCGCAGTCTCTGGTCATCTCCTGTACTGTGTCTGCAGTCTCTGGTCATCTCCTGTACTATGTCCGCAGTCTCTGGTCATCTCCTGTACTGTGTCCGCAGTCTCTGGTCATCTCCTGTACTGTGTCCGCAGTCTCTGGTCATCTCCCTGTACTGTGTCCGCAGTCTCTGGTCATCTCCTGTACTATGTCCGCAGTCTCTGGTCATCTCCTGTACTATGTACGCAGTCTCTGGTCATCTCCTGTACTATGTCTGCAGTCTCTGGTCATCTCCTGTACTATGTACGCAGTCTCTGGTCATCTCCTGTACTATGTACGCAGTCTCTGGTCATCTCCTATGCTGTCCCCGCAGTCTCTGGTCATCTCCTGTACTTTGTCTGCAGTCTCTGGTGATCTCCTGTACTGTGTCCGCAGTCTCTGGTCATCTCCTGTACTATGTCTGCAGTCTCTGGTCATCTCCTGTACTGTCCGCAGTCTCTGGTCATCTCCTGTACTGTGTCCGCAGTCTCTGGTCATCTCCTGTACTGTGTCCGCAGTCTCTGGTCATCTCCTGTACTATGTACGCAGTCTCTGGTCATCTCCTGTACTATGTCTGCAGTCTCTGGTCATCTCCTGTACTATGTACGCAGTCTCTGGTCATCTCCTGTACTATGTACGCAGTCTCTGGTCATCTCCTATGCTGTCCCCGCAGTCTCTGGTCATCTCCTGTACTTTGTCTGCAGTCTCTGGTGATCTCCTGTACTGTGTCCGCAGTCTCTGGTCATCTCCTGTACTATGTCTGCAGTCTCTGGTCATCTCCTGTACTGTGTCCGCAGTCTCTGGTCATCTCCTGTACTGTGTCCGCAGTCTCTGGTCATCTCCTGTACTATGTCCGCAGTCTCTGGTCATCTCCTGTACTGTGTCTGCAGTCTCTGGTCATCTCCTGTACTGTGTCCGCAGTCTCTGGTCATTTCCTGTACTATGTCTGCAGTCCATTGGTTCAGAATATTTTTTTTCTTGTTTTCCGCCTCTAAAACCTAGGCGCGTCTCATGGTCAGGTGCGTCTTATGGAGCGCAAAATTCAGTACCTTGATATTAATAATAATATTTCATCCCAGTTGGGACATTTTTCTATTAACTACCTTGATATTAATAATAAGCTCCCAGGATCAGGGCCCTCCTATTCCTCTTGTATTGAACTGTATTGTTGCTGTATTGTCTTCCGTTATATTGTAAAGCGCTGAGCAAACTGTTGGCGCCATATAAATCCTGTATAATAATAATATATAAATCCTGTATAATAATATATAAATCCTGTATAATAATAATAATATATATAATCCTGTATAATAATAATATATAAATCCTGTATAATAATAATAATATATATAATCCTGTATAATAATCATATATAAATCCTGTATATAATAATAATAATAATATATAAATCCTGTATAATAATAATTATATAAAAATCCTGTATAATAATAATAATAATAAAATATAAATCCTGTATAATAATAATAATAATATATATATAAATCATGTATAATAATAATAATAATAATAATAATAATATATAAATCCTGTATAATAATATATAAATCCTGTATAATAATAATAATAATAATAATAATAGTAATAATAATAATAATAATAATAATATTTCATCCTAGTTGGGACATTTGTCTATTAATTACCTTGATATTAATAATAATATTTCATCCCAGTTGGGACATTTGTCTATTAATTACCTTGATATTATTAATAATATTTCATCCCAGTTGGGACACTTGTCTATTAATTACCATGAGATTAATAATAATATTTCATCCCATTTGGGGCACTTGACTATTGGTAAAGGCACATAAATTTGGATTTTGACCCACTCAGCATTTACATCAGAAATTGCCACATGTGATGATAAAATTATATAAATTTATCCGTGATTATACGTTATTTACAATCCTGTTTTATCCCCATCTGGGCACTTGAATTTTAATACTGCTATATAAACAGGATACTGATCCATTTCATATACACAATCTTATTTCATTCTGCTCTGAATGCATTAGGTATTGCCACTTATGATGATGATAAAATCCTGTATAATAATAAAATAAATTAATCCAATTATGACGCATGATAATCCCTAGTGCAGCATCTATAAGGACACCATAGGAGGTTCAAAAATGTAAGTCTATATCCTCTAGTTAAGCTTTGGCATTGTGAATTAGGGATATAATTAGTCATAAATAAACACACATGGGCCCCGTCCAATGTCAATCTACTCACAGTAATCTCCTGTGAATTAGAAAAGCCAACTTTTGTGTGAACGTGGCAATAGTCCACAACCAATACAGACTGTAGATATACAGTGGATATAAAAACTCTACACACCCCTGCTAAAATGTTAGGTTTCTGTGATGTAAAAAAAAAAATGAGCAATAGATGAATAATTTCAGAACTTTTTTCACCTTTAATGTGACCTATAAACTGTACAACTCAATTGAACAACAAACTGAAATCTTTTAAGAGGAGAGAAGTAAAAATAAAAAACTAAAATAATATGGTTGCATTAGTGTTCACACCCTTAACCGCTTCCAGTCCGCCCTATAGCAGAAATACTGCTACAGGGCGGCATGGGTGCACAAAATCATTTGTGTATATATATATGTGATTTTGCATTTCCAGGTTGGGGGCGCACGCCATTCGTGGACGTGGCTGTCAGTCATTGGATCCCGGTTGGTGATTACTTGATACAAGGATCTCCGACGGGGAGGAGAACTGTTTGTAAACAAAACAGTTCTCCTCCCTGTCAACCCATGCACATTGCACAGCACAGCCATCCAAAGCAGTGTGCTTACAGTGAAGCACAAACACAGCCACACACAGTAAAACAGCACACAGCACATGGTTAACCCTTTAATTGCCCCACATGTTAACCCCTTCATCCCCGGTGTCATTAGTACAGTGTCAGTGCTTTTTTTAGCACTGATCACTGTATTGGTGTCACTGGGGATTTCAGTGACACCAAGTCAGTCCCTTCCAGTATCAGAATGCCCACCACAGTCCTGCTATAAGTCGCTGATCACCACCCTTTCTAGTAAAAAAAGAAAAAGCTTAGTATATACCGCCATTTGTGAATGCTCTAACTTTCACGTAAACCATCTAATTTACATGTATTGGGATTTTTTTTTTAGCAAAGACATGGAGCAAAATACATTTTGGCCGAAATGACAAAATTTGATTTTTTTTTTATTTTTTCACTGGACAGGTTTAATAGCAAAAAGTCAAAAATATTGTTTTTTTTTCTCAAAATTGTCAGACTTTTTTTTTTATAGCCCCAAAAAATAAAAAACCGCACAGACGATTAAATACCACCAAAAGAAAGCTCAATTCGTGGGAAAAAAGGGGTATAAATTTAATCTGGGTGCAGCATTGTATGACCACGCAATTGTCAGTTAAAATAACACAGTACCGTATCGCAAAAAATGGCCTGGTCGGGGGGGGGGGGGGGGGGGGGGATTCTCTGGAGGGCGAGTGGTTAAACTAATCCTTTGTTGAAGCCCCTTTTGATGTGATTCCAGCACTCAGTCTTTTTGGGGAGGAGTCTATCAGCATGGCACATCTTGACTTGGCAATATTTGCCCGCTCTTCCTTGAGAAACACTCCAAATCTGTCAGATTGCGAGGGCATCTCCTGTGCACAGCCCTCTTCAGATCACCCCACAGATTTTCCATCGGATTCAGGTCTGGGCTCTGGCTGGGCCATTCCAAAACTTTTATCTTCTTCTGGTGAAGCCATTCCTTTGTTGATTTGGATGTATGCTTTGGGCCGTTGTCATGCTGAAAGATGAAGTTCCTCATGTTTAGTTGCTTCATGTTTAGCTTTCTAGCAGAAGCGTGAAGGTTTTGTGCCAATATTGACTGGTATTTGGAACTGTTCATAATTCCCTCTACCTTGACTAAGGCCCCAAAGCATAAGATATGTTTTTGCACCAAACATATCTTTTGGAATTATGGCCAAAAAGTTCAACCTTGGTTTCATCAGACCAGAACACATTTTCCCACATGCTTTTGGGAGACTTCAGATGCGTTTTTGCAGAATTTAGCCGGGCTTGGATGTTTTGTCTTCGTAATTAACGGCTTCCATCTTGCCACTCTACCCCATAGCCCAGACATATGAAGAATACGGGAGATCACACAGCCAGTACTTGCCAGATATTCTTGCAGCTCCTTTCACGTTGCTGTAGGCCTCTTAGCAGCCTCCCAGACCAGTTTTCTTCCTTCTTTTCATCCATTTTGGAGGGACGTCCAGTTCTTGATGATGTCACTGTTGCACCATATTTTCTCCTCTTGATGATGACTGTCTTCACTGTGTTCCATGGTATATCTAATGCCTTGGAAATTCTTTTGTACCCTTCTCCTGACTGATACCTTTTAACAATGAGATCCCTCTGATGCTTTGGAAGCTCTCTGTGGACCACGGCCTTTGCTGTAGGATCTGACTAAGAAAATGTCAGGAAAGACCTAATAGAACAGCTGAACTTTATTTGGGGATAATCAGAGGCACTTTAAATGATGGCAGGTGTGTACTGACTCCTATTTAACAT